TAACGACGTTTGCACAGGTATGATCTCGGCTTCACAACACGAGCGGACGACCTTGATCACACGTATGTCTGATAGGTAACGTATGACCTTCACGCAGGTACGATGACGTCACGCGTAAGACAGCGCCACAGTTGCCGCCGATCTCCTGTGCGACACGAGATGCTGCTGTTGTTGTTGTTGTTGTTGTTGTTGTTGTTGCTGTTGCTGCTACTGTTGTTGTTGGTGGTGGTGGTGTTATTGTTGTTGCTGCTGCTGTTGTTGTTGTTGTTGTTGTTGTTGTTGTTGCTGTTGCTGTTGGTGTTGATGATGATGATGCTACTGCTGCTGCTGCTGTTGCTATTGATGCTGCTGCTGCTGCTGCTGCTGGGGATGATGATGATGACGATGTTGCTGCTGCTGCTGCTACTGCTGCCACCGCTCTTGCTACCGTTGCTACTGCTGCTGTTGCTACCGCCGCTGCGGCCGCTGCCACCGCTGCCACCGCTGCCGCTGCTGCCACCGCTGCTGCTGCTGCTGCTGCTACCACGCGCACACTATCGCTCTCCTCGCGCCAGTTCTCCCACTGCTGATCGGCAATCGATGTCAATAGTCACGTGACCTCGTGGACGACGGCTGATTGGAGGAAGGCACCGGCGGAGCTCCTGTGGCGCTGAAACAAGCCGACTGGGACGTTGTAGGCGCGTGCAAGAGAGACGGAAGCGCGCGCAGCGAGGAGGAGGAGTAGGAGGAGGAGGAGGAGGGGGGGATGCTGACGTGGGTGGTTGGTTGCGCGGGGAGGAGAACCGGTGCTTGTCGGATGCATACGACAGATGCAATCATAGAAATAATATCGATAGGTTATCTACATTATTTCTATGGATGCAATGCGTCATCGCGGCGCGTGCCTGCTCGCGTGCGTGCCCGTGTGCGTGCGTGCGTGCACCTGTGTGTACGCGTGTGCGTCTGTGCGTCCGCCTGCGTGCCTACGTATACGTGCGCGCGTGCGCCTGTGTGCACGCGTGTGTGTGTGCACGCGTGCGTGCGTGCGTGCGTGCGTGCGTGCGTGTCGCTACGAGCGATTGCGATAATAACGAAGGACACGGGGCGATCACCGCGGACGGGTCTCTCTGATTTTTCCGGCCGAACTGAATTGCCACAAATGACACGCTGTGGTTAAGATGGCAATCACTGCTTTGTCTGCTGCGAGTTTGTCATGTCGATATATCCCGCCTGCCTCTTAGCTGCTATGCTGCAGCCTGTGTCTCTATCTGCCACGATGTAACCAGCATATCTGGCCGCTCTATTATAATTCTCTGTCTGTCTACAACAACTCTCTCTCTCTGTCTCTGTCTGGCTCTGTCTGTCTCTGTCTGTCTGGTAACAAGCGGGGTTGTGACACATAGCAGGGTCTCTGCGGGGTTTGTGCGACTATCGCCTCTATCTCGTATGTCGTATGACTTCCTGTCGTATCAATGACTATATATCTCATGCGATCTCATGCGATCGAAAACCAATGAAGTTTTAATCCAAGAGATAGACGAGTTTAATCATAATGTTCTATACGGATAGCTTGAAAAGCATATTCCATGCAATAGAAATGATTCTAATGCCAATAAAAATACTCGTAATTTATCTAATCAGTGGGAAATTGAATTCATTGCGATTTAAACCACTTTCTGTTCCAATTAAACTTTTAAATGGGTTTTAAATAGATAATTTTCCGTTATCATTTTGTATCCAATGTGTTTCAGAAGCGTTAAAACAACATTATTTTATGGCTAATTTCTGGAACCGGTTACTCATATTTTATTCAATGTGGTGACGCTTTGCCCAGCCTCGGGCCGTTTTCTAAACCAAATTACGACAATAACTGACAAAATTCTGTTTGTCTGCATCTACGCGTAACGACGATAGTTATAAACAGTTTATTTCCTAGTGGAATAGTAATTAACGTTCTTGCAATTGGAACGTCGAGGCAAATCACATCTACGGATATCTGATTGGGATGACAAGTGTCCAAGCAACAACAGGAACAAAGGTTCCATCCTCAGAGGATGAAAGACCTGTAGTAGCAAGATGTCACATTAATGCTTCCGCGATCCTAGGACAGTTAGCAAATATGATTGCTTATAATTCCTGAATATATATTTATTATTTTAATTAATGCTTGTTATTGCACAGTAGCAGTAGAACTACATTGGCGTGGTAGTAACTAACCTACATGTTGTTTAGTATAGTATTCAACAACAATAATGATGACCTTCGCTGCTTCATATTTTGCAAGAGTTTCCAGATACTAAAATTAATTCCAGATTGATTATTATATTTAATTTTAGATTAATGTAGTTTCCAGAACTACATTGGCGTGGCGGGTAGCTACACGTTGTTCTGTAGCGTTCAACGACCAAAAGATGAGGACCTTCTCAGCTTCATAGTTTGACAAAATTGTCGTTTTATTCGTTTAATTGTTTAGTTTATTTAATTGTTTATTTAATTGTTTAATTGTTTATTTAATTGTTTATTTAATTGTTTAATTGTTTATTTAATTGTTTAATTTGTTTTGTTTCTCGTAAATCGCAATAGCCATGGACGCTGCGTGCGCTGGTGCTGTCTCAGAGTCTTGAGTATGAATAGCTGGGATCAGCAAACAACGTGGACGAGGTGGCTATAATGTCTTTGTAAGTGAAAAGTCTTATAAGTCTTTGTAATGTCGTGGTAAGTACATTCCTTTGTAGGCCAACCAGTGAATCAAGCACTATAGAGACCGCCAATCAACGCAGATACAACTTAACAGCAAATTGGCATCGGAATCACGCCAAATAAGGTCATGATTTAGTGAAAAACATCGAATCGGGGTCAAGGCTCGATCACATTGATTAGAATATTAGTAGTCGGCCAGTCGTGGGACTAGACGCTGACAAATATCAGCGTGCAGGGTTCAGCAGTTTATTAGATACAAATCAGATTATAATATCATCAGATATATATCAGATATACAGATTATAAAATCATTGCACCAAACCGTCGAAATATCTGAACGTTTGGCGGCAAAAATTGATATTTTCTCTCAAGGGGAGTCAAAACGTCTGCTTAAAAATCCCTACCGCCGTCAGGATGGCTGGCTTTCCGATGACGTCATCCCAATGGAGCGCGTGTTAACGAGCGCGCAACATCCGATAAGTGAGTGACCGGTAAATTAAATTCACATCAAAGTTGCATGAATCCCTCCCCTCCCCTTCCCTCTTCCCCTCCTCCCCATCCTCTTCTCACGCACGGCTGCGGCCGGGGGGGGGGTGAAGAGTTGCGGAGTAAATGAGGTCACGCGACTGAGTTACAAGAAAATTTGCGAGACGGGGAAGAGTCAGAGAGGGAGAGAGAGAAGGGGGGAGAGCGTTTGTGTGCGTACCCGCACGTGTGTGTATGTGTGTTAAGAGTAAAAAGGGAGAAAGTGATCAAGGAAAAAAAGAGACGAATAGACAGACCGATAGATAGATAGATAGATAGATAGATAGATAGATAGATAGATAGTTAGATAGATAGATAGATAGATAGATAGATAGATAGATAGATAGATAGATAGATAGATAGTTAGATAGATAGATAGATAGATAGACAGATAGATAGATAGATAGATAGATAGATAGATAGATAGATAGATAGATAGATAGATAGATAGATAGATCTTCTCCCCCACCCCCCGCGGCTACGTTCAAGGAAACTTACAGGGAATCACACCTTCATTCGTGACGTTCAAAGCGAAAAAGGGCACACGACTAGCTACTATAAATATATAATAATGTCACGGTATCTGGCCGCGGGCAGCATGGGTGTGAGGGCGGGCGAGGCAGGGCAGGAGGGGCGCAGAGCGGGAGGCGACGGGGTCAGGGCCAATGACTAGCTACACGCCTGTATGCGTTTATCACGCGCGCACGCACGCACGCATGCACGCACGCACGCACGCACGTAAAAGGAACGCTGACCGTCGATTTTTTTTTTCGATTTTTTTTTTCTCGAAACGATTTGCGAAGATATCATGTCGCGTGACGAAAAGTATGAAGTTGTTGTTTTTGTAAAAACAAGGTTAAACAATAATAAACACAATGTTCCTCTCACTCGTTCGCTGATATTGTTTCTACTCCTCGCGATTTCTAAGCCACAAGTACTACAGTCGACACTAATCAAATAACTCTCGCTACGCCGTTCAGTGTTAAATGAACATGCATCGAACTTTTATTAGCTAAACGAAAGGAAGCGTTACACAGCGATTGATTGATTTTTAATTAATCGATTCGCGAAATCGATTGCTTGATGACAGAGATTCGGAAGAAGCGAGGAGAGACAGAGTAATTTTTTACAGATTTATGATGACGATGAACACAAGAGTTTATATATATAACGTGGCGTGTCTCTCAACTCTCAGCTACGCACTACGGTGGTTGGGGTGGGGTGGGAGCAAAGATGTCCGCTACACCATCTCGCGTCCGGCCATCATTATTATTATACTCCAGCGAAAAAGAAAACAACTTGTACGACGTGAATAAACAAAACTCTCTGCTTATGCCGACTCCGTGACGCGCGCGTCAGCGCACCGACCGAGTCTGCCAAAGGGAAACCTCTTCACGGTTTTCGACGACGTCACCCGTGCCGTCACTCACTCAACACTTCCGATGACGTCACACACAAAATGCGCTCATTTTTCGACTACGTCACACACAAAACGCGCGCGCTGGCTCGACACGTCACGAACTCGGCATAAACAGGCGCGGGCGAGCGTTCGCGTTGACGGCGATGGTGGCGCCGGGCGTTTAGAAGCGGCGAGCGGCGCGTTCGTCGACGATGACGAGGGAGGAGCGACGGCCGCTGCTGATGACGGTGTGGTGCTTGGAGCGCATCACGCTCAGGTTGCTCTCGGCCTGCTCGGCGCGGCTCTCCGAATCCTCGAGCTCTCTCTGGTAGCGACGCAGACGGCCTGTGACGTTCTGGTTCTGCGCCTCCTGCGGAACGAACGTACGAACACCCGCGTGAACAACCGTGTGAGCAACCGTGTGAACAACCGTGTGAACAACCGTGTGAATGAACGTACGAACAGCCGTGTGAATCTCATCTGATCGAAATTTTAACTAATTGCAACTATAGTTTTCGCAAGAAGCTCTAGTGAGGGAGAGCGAGGAGGTATAGGTATAGGGTATAGGAGAGGCCAAGGCGAGAAATGAAAAAGGAAGGAGCGAAAGGTAGAGCAGGACTGGAAAAGAAGCGAGCGAGAAGTAGAGTAGGAGGTGAAAAGAAGCGAGCGAGAGGTAGAGTAGGGGTGAAAAGGAAAGCAAGTGAAAGTGCGAGCGACAGGTAAGATGGGAATGAAAATGTAGCACGGTGAAGTAAGATAGGGGGTAGTCTAGTGCTATAGTATGTAAGAACCCCACACTAGCTGCTGGACATTAAACCGCAACCTCTGTCTCCTACGCTCCTACACCCAGTCAACCGCACCTTCTACAAGCTGTTACTGTTGTGTTTAACCCTCTCCGCTCCTGTAACCCGCGCACTCCGACCCGTACTCAAAGATTCTATTATATTCGACTCTATCTCAGGCTCTATCTCATATTCTATCTCGCACGCTGTCTGATTCTCTGTTTCACGTTCTGTCTCACCCTGTCTCACAATCTGTATCACACTCTAGCTCACACTCTATCTCACACTCTATCTCAAACTCCATTCCACATCTTGATCCACTCTCTATCTCACACTGTATTTTATTATCGATGCCACACTATGTCTCACATTCTATCTCAAACTCCATTTTACATCTTGACCTGTACTCTATCTTACACGTTGTCTCACAATCTGTCTAACACTCTGTCTCACTCTCTATTTCACATCTTGACTCACACCCTGACCTACACCCTGTCTCACACTCTATTTCACACTTTATCTCACACTATATTATCCGCCCTATTTCCTACGCCTGGTCCATGATCTGTCTCCTATTATCTCATATGGTCTATATATGCCCACTATCTCTAACATTCTTTCTCTCGCTTTAACTTATTAAGCTCCCCTGCTCTCTCACTCTGTTTCCAATATTCTCTCTCTTCCTCTCTCTCTCTCTCGCTCTCTCTCTCTCTCTCTCTCTCTCTCTCTATCTCCCTTTCTCT